AGGAATGCACAAGACAAACAGATGCCTGACCTCTTTAGCTTACACTCTGGAAATGATAAAGTTGATTGAATTTACAGGTATCAGTCTGTTAGCCAACAAATATTTACTGAGTATTCACTCTATGCCAGATACTTTTAATATCATAATGAACCAAAAAGACATAGTCCACATGCTCATGGACCTTACTATCTAGCAGATCAGGTAGATTTAGTCAAATCATTGCATATAATTATAATAAATATAATATAAGTGTGCAAAAGACTGAAGGAGAAGTACAGGGTTCTTAAGGAAATTTAGGCAGGAGAATATTCCCCTCCAGCCTGGGTGAAAAGAATTTTCTCTCTAAACTTTCCTCTCAGTTAAGAGAGTAAAGTCAGCGAACAGTTTGCAATAGCCAGAGGCCCAAGTCAGGCCAACAATGGAATGTCCAACAGTGTACCTGGAGGCAATGTGGCCAGTCAAATTGCTTGCTTGGGTCCTTTCAATTTTTTGTTGATTTATGACTTAGGAGTTCCTGTATGGTTTCGCTACAGAAACCAAGGTGAGAATTGTTGAATTGCTTTTAGCTATTATAAGGAATTCCGGAATTACGTTTTTCTTTTGCCTGCTCAAAGACTGTGGCAAACACCCCAACCTTCCATGGTGCCAAGAAGCTGCTGGAGACACAGAGCCTGGGATCATAAACAAAGCAATTATACAGCTGATTCATTGCAAGAGCATGTCCCTCACTGAGGTCACTGGTTCTGAGCAGAAAGAAGATAGAAGCCAAGAGAAGATGAAGAGCTGATGAAAAATATGTGTCCCACAGATAAAAACTGCTGCTCCTACAATCGTTAACATATCCTGCGAACAAATAAAAAACTAAAGCATCACTGCACTACATTCTTTAGTGAGGACAAGCTGATCTGTGGGATTCTGAATTACTCACCTCTTCATCAGGAGGGGGCTGGGCTGTGTTTGGAGAACTTTCATTTTCCAACACTCTCAGCAGACATTAAACAGGTGCATTATAAATACTAGTTGAATTATTACAGGTTTGTTTTCATTTGCTACCTGATTCTCTGAAGGATAAGAAAAATATAGAAATAGCTAATGATGAGTAAAAGAAATGTATAAATGATAAATTAATTTAGAGCTGTGTTATAATTCAGCCAAAATGCAGAAAATGAGTTCTCCGTGGTTCAACTTATACCTATATAAGCACAAATTCTTTTCTCTGTCCGGATGAATGACTAGGACCCATATTTCATGGCATCTTCTTCAAGTCAAGAAGGGCTAAAAGTGAAGGAAGCCAAGAAAATCAGAGAAGGAGAATGCTGGAAATTTAGGATATAGGAGAGTTACAGCATTAGACTACCTGGCTTATAGTCTCGGCTCTGCCACTGACTAGCTGTGAGACCTTAGGCCACTTACTCAGCCTTCATATCCTCTTTTGTTAAATGGGTACTTGCCTCGCAAGTTTTTCCTAAAAGAATCATTTGAGTTCATGTCCTTAACACAGTTTCTGGCACATAAGTGCTCCATAAATTTTAGTTTTCACTTCTAATGAATGGTTTTCTAAAATAATTTCTAATTCCACTCAAGATTTTTTAATAAATACGATTTGCTAAATACAAAGCTGAAGGTAAACTGTCATAACTCTGTAAGAAATTTTCTATAAATGCCCTCACAAATCAGGGGAAAAAATCCTCTTTCTGGTAGCCTTACGTGACCACCATACCCACACAATTTAGTGTGGCTTCTTGGAATTGAAAATACCCTCCTCCTATAATCAGGCTATTACAGAACCTGGTAGAAGATTAAGGGTAGGTTCCTGTCTTAAAGACAATTGTGCATAAATAAACTGGATTACTTTGCTATAATCCCAGAGTATAGGAAGTCCAAAGAATCTATGCATTTGGGTGTGTATATGCTTGGGGCCAGGCCTTGATTTGTCTGACAGGCCTTGGAGGGAGATAGAGTATATAAGGCATTCACCTAGAGTAAAATCAGGTTGAAACAATAAAAATGTTTTATGCTTTATGTAAACTGGTAAGTGTCACAACTCTTGGAATAACAGTCTTGCTGAAAAATTGACACACTTTTCCTTCTGGTATGTCTTGGCATAAATTGTTCCTCTCTCTGCAAGATTAACTGATACCATCTGTGAGTATTCTGGGCCCTCACTCTCAGCCAGTGTTTGAATCTGCATGTTTCTTTTCTTTGCCTCCTTTCAAAGGAAAAAAAAACAGGAATGCAAGCGTCACCCCTAGCTAATGGTCAAACGCAAAGTCGGAGCCCGTTGGTTCCCAGTTCTTTCCCAAGCCTTTTAACCCCTTGCTTCCAACTCTGCATCTGAAGGCAAAAACAGTCCTCGGAGACATGGCCCTCCCACTGCCTGTGATAGGCTGCTTGGAATAGCAACAGCCTGTGTCACCGAAAAGGGCAAAGCCTTCGGAAATAGAAACAAAGTTGGTCACAAATCACATTGGATTTGCCCTGAAGTTGTTTTGGGTTTTTTTCTTCTTCTTTTTTCCCCTCACCTTCTTTAGCATGCGACCATGGGGAAAGTGACTACTGTTGTCAGCAGGGGAAGTCGGGGTGGTCTGGTGCGGAGGGAACTGCTGTAACTTCTACGTGACCATGGTACCTGTTGAAAACACAGAGGGCCCCAGTCTGCTAAACCCGAAGGGGATACCAGCGGATCCCCTTGATGGCAGCGACAGAGCCAGCGGCAGCCGGCATCCTCCGTGGGCCAGAGGTAAAGCGAGACAGATGGGGCCGGGAGACCGGTTAGAGCAACAAGCTGAACTCGTGTCTCACGTGTGTGTGTGTGTGTGTGTCTGTGTGCGTGTGTGTCTGTGTGTGTGTGTACACGTGAGCGTGCTAAGTGCACGGAGAGAAGGAGACAGAACCTCATGGGAGGAGTGACAAGGAGCTATAATGTGAAGACTAATTCCCACTACTGGTAAACTGGGTCCCATTGATTGTGTTGACAATATAATGTATAATCTTTTTTTCACATGTATAAACACACACACACACACACGCACACACATACTTTTGCATTTATTGTCACAAATGGACAATCTGTAACAAGCAGACATTATAATTACCATTTTTAAAATCCATATTTTAAGTAGGCTTCATAAAATTATTAGTTACATAATCAATGAACACAACTTTGTTTTTGAGTTCCCAGCATCTGTTTGTAATGAATTGGAGCTTTATTTGGAACCTAAAATCTCTGCTTCCTTGCTCCTGCTCTCTTTAAAACTGGTCTTTCAAGCTGAAGTTTAGTACTTTTTCTTCGGGAGATGAAATTTGGAAAAGTTTTCATTTGGTTCAGTTGTCTTTGCTAAACAAAAAGCTTTTCTTCACTTCCACATTCACGATTCCCATAAACACATTGCACGCTTTTAGCTGCCTATTTCTATTCATTTGGTTTGTCCTCAAAGGAATAGACAGAAATGGTAATATGAAATGAAATTAAACACAAATAATTCTCTTTCCTACTGATTTCCTCAGCTCTGCTCTCCCTAGCCACATAATACATTCTCAGATGATATATTGGAATTTCAAGAATAATCAAAAACATCAAATGATGCAAAAAGCACTTACTTACCTTTCACCTTAGAATAGATCTGTATTCTTTCGTTTGCATTGTGGGTTTGTCCGATTTTAGAATTGAATCCACGACCTCTCTCATGGAGGCACAGAGTGGCACCTCCTGAGGAACTGAAAAGCTGTCATTCTTCCCTGTCTTGCTCCTTGCTTAGCCTTCTCTTTCTTCCCCTCTTCTAGAATGAATAATACCTGGGGTCATCTTTCAGTACAGGCTAACCCTCTCTTAAGCAGAGATTTCTCTAATGGTGTTTTCTGGCCCCTCAGTCTAAACGCAGGCAAGTGAAACTTATATTTGGGGGTAAAGGGTAAGATTTAAAGAATTCTTCTCTCTAAACTTCTGCAAGATTGAACTGAAGGACTAGGTGAGTTAGTGAGAGCAACAAAAATGTTAACAATGATAATGATACAAAGAAGATGAAAAATTTTGTCCTGGAGGGGCCTCTATGATAACAATTAAAAATTGACCATTGAATTTTGATATGGCTCTGAAAGCACAGTATACTCTTAATAGATTAAACTGCACAAGTTCACAATTATCTCAAAGCATCTTAAGATGTATGTATGTTTGTAAAGGTTGAATACATGCACAAAATTCTGCTTAAAGTGCAACTGTTTATGCTGTTGGAAAGAAATGATAAATAAATAAATACCGTAAGTTATCGTTTACATTTAATTTTAAGTGAACCTGATTATGAAAAACCTTAAATGTTTCCCTAAAATTTTAAATGAATACATCTTTGATTTTTGCTACATATAGTTTATATTCGGATAAATACAAACCTTTTATTGTTACCTTTGTAAGTTTTCTTAAGTTGTTTTAAACATCTTAGTATCCAAAGGCAAGGCAATTGTGTGTGTGTGTGTGTGTGTGTGTGTGTGTGTGTGTGTGTACATACATACATTATATATATATGGTATAGTACAGACTCATTTTATGTTATTGAACTCTGCTGTTGGGATTATATTTTAGTCTATTTTATGAAGATGTTGAGGTTTAATGAAGTAATTTTTGACAAATACTCCTTTTGACTTTTTTTATATTTTTAAACTTCCAAAGTTTCATCCAGGAAATTCGATGTATTTAAAATATGCTTAAAATTTATCATACTATTTGTACACTTGAAGATAGCAAGTTTGTCTATAGTCCTAGATCAAAAAAAATTAAAGCACAAAGAGGAATGAGTTATACAACCTAGGACAAGGTAATTAAATCATTTGAGATACTGAAAAATGAAACAAAACAAAAGTCCTAAAATCTGTGATTGCACCCCCTTAATGCTAGTGTGTGCAATGAAAAGTGTTGGCAGGTCTTTCTCAGCCAATTCCTATTAAACTGGAAAGAATGCTTTGTTTCAATGACTAAAAGCTAATGAACTTAAATTCAATTTCAAAAATCTATGATTCAAAGTGGGTACATTTTTAGCAAATTTTTCAGTGTTTGTAGATATGTTATAATTCACCTCATAGGGCAGGGTTGAGCTCAATTTGATATTCTGGTGCCTGGAACCAACAACAGATGTAGGTGACAGGAGAAACATAGACTGCTGGAGCATCTCACACAAGGAGAACATGAGGCCAGAGATGCATAGCTGGCCCAAGTTCATGCAGTGGCTGGTGCAAAATTGATCCTAGCAGCCTCTGACCTAAAGGCCTAATTCCTGTTCCTCCACCTCAGACACTGGGTCTCCCAGGCTCTTCTAATTTCATGATTCAAAAAACTGGCTTGGAGAAGAGTTTCCTTAAGTACCCCCTAACTCCACCAGCACTGCTTTTTCCTCTTGGATCTACCCAAAAGGTCAGAAACCAAGAACAGCATCCGTTGTATGAATGCAAGTTCTCAACTCTGCAGGTCTAGCTGCCGAATACACTGGAACCCAGATCACTCGGAGCAGACTCACCCATTTAGCTGAAAGGGCTATACTTCATGTTCTCTGAGACCCTGCTAAATCCCCGATGCCACAGTCTGAAATTTAACAAACGCACTCTTCCGCTAATCAGATGAATGAGGCGGTTGTTCGCAAATGTTTAAAGCTGTGAACTTTATACAAATGGAAGCTGAGCAGGTGGTCAGTACGTAAGACAGGTAACCACAGCCTGCTCTTGTAGGAAGATGGGAGGCGGAGAAAGGGAAGATCTGCACCCTCCCAGCCCTCGCAGGCTCCTTGAGTGGGGTCACACTGAGCAAACCTCAGGTCCACCCCTACTCTGGTCAGGCAGGCCTTGCTTTTTGTTTGTTTGTTCGTTTGTTTGTTTGGGGCGTATTTACTGTGCCCTACTGACTATTGGGCTCCCAGGTTTAGCCTAATCTGACCCCCTTGAATTCAGTGAGGCCCAGCTTTCTCAGGCTTTCTTGGACAGCCTGAGAGGAGGGCTATTGTAAGAGAGACTGAAGAGACTTTGAGAAAGAAACTTATCCCCAAGAGAAAGTCAGGCCGACCAGCTCGACCTAATAAGAGAGCTTTAGTTGCAAGAGCAGCAATTCTAACAGTAGACCAGTCACTTTGGGAAGACCTTGGTCTGGGTCATTCTCATTTTTTCGAGCTCTCCATATATTAAAAAGTAAAGTGGAAAAACTCATGACAAAAATTATCGTGTTTTTAAAAAGTATATTTAAAAAATTAATGGCTGATAACAATAACAAAAAAATGTTATGTGTAGCTTGACAGGAAGTGACAGGATTTATAGACATATGAATTTATGAGGGACTATGAACTCTTTTATGTGCAGTTAAGACCAGATTTTAAAAAAATGTAACCATCTCTGCTTTCATTTCAGTCAGCTTGTCTGTCTCTGAGTGTACATTTAACCTCCCTTGGAAATCACATCCAACGTCTGTCTATAACTGAGGCTTTTTTTGTGACTATGAGGTCCAGGCAAATAGCTTCTCCAAGATCTAGGAAGGAAGGAGGCTCTAAACAAACTTAGTGGAAGCTGTTTCACCACAAAGTCTGGGTGGTGATTGGCGCACCCAAATCTTACCCTTCTTCCTGCTCAGAAAAACAAAGTGCGGCTCCCTGCCTGCGTCCATTTAGCATCAAGCGTAGGAATGCTATGCTATGCGTTCCAGGATTTGACATTTTTGGCGATCGAACCACTAAAACCAGAACGCTACAAATAAAGTGATGTCATTTGTTTCCAAAAACTATCGACATACTAGAGCAATATGAAAATAATAATAAGAGCAAGACATTTCGTGGCAGACTCTGGGGATAAGGTTAGGACTGTAATTCACGAGTTACTGGGGTAAACACTGCAGGCGCCAGTGCTGCTGGGGAGTATTCTCAAGGCAAACTGGAAAAGGTTAAAAGGCTCTTGTTCCCCTTTAAGATCATGTCACCAAAGAGATCGCCATTTGCCAGAGACCACCTCTTGGGCAGCAGACACACACCGGTGGGAGCCTGCGGTGGCAGGGCCTGGCAGACATGGATGAAGCCAGGCCAAGATGCCACCAAGCAATGCTGCTGATCTGGAGTGACAGAAATCAGCTGGCAGATACCAGTGTACTTAAACTGTTTTTATAGCCAAAGCCTATTCTGATAAGTCAATGCTCCTGTCCCAGTTGGTAAATATTTTAAACATTACCTTTCTCTCTGGTAAGACTGCGAGCAGGAGCTGAGGCTCAGAGATCCCAAGAACATGCCTGCTGTTAACTGATAGAACCTTAATGCCAGCCTTTGAGACATATTTTTCATGAATTCTCAAGGGGCTACTTTCTAGTAGTCTAGAGCTTATATAGCTGGTAAAAACAGAACTCAAAATATAATGAATTCACCCTACAACAGACTGAGGAAACTGATTTATAGATATTTATCGAAGGTGAATCAGCTGATTTTAAAATGCAATTTTTAATTGCTGTAGATGTGTAGGATTATATTTTTCATTTAAGAATAGTTAGTTCTTAAAGCTGGTTTTGTAGGTAACATTTTCTCAGTAGGAGGAACCGACGTACTATTTTAGCTTCAGGGTTGAAAAAGTTCTGATCTCCAAACCGCCCTCCATTAGTGCTCAATTAGCTTGGGCTTTAAGAGCTGAGACAGCTATTTACTCAGACTGGTTTTATAAGATTCTTAAATGGTGCAGAGTCAGGGCACCTTAGTTCAATGTTTTTTCTCATGAACAGTCTTCCCCAAGATG